GATTTATTATTTATCTCTGGCTTTTGTTTCATCGCCCAACCTCCAACCAGTCGCAGTAGCCCTACCTGAGTGTGGTTATACTGGAGATTTCTTTTTAAAAGGGAGTTTTTCCTTCCCACTGTCACCAAGCGAGTGCTCCGTATTATTGTAGGGTGTTTATCTTACAATATAAAGCACCTTGAGGTGACTGTTGTTGTGCTTTGGAGCTAAATAAATAAAGTTGAATTGAACTGAATCTTCTGAGGCTTCTAGCAGGATATTGTGCCTTGTCAGAAACCTCAAGCTCAAACAAAACAAGTTACAATTGAGCACCTTTGGGATGTGGTGAAACGGCATATTTGCACCATGCAAATCTTCAGCAACTGTATTAACTGGTAACATGTCAACATGAACCAAAGTCTCTGAGGAATGAATGACCTGTATCCAACACACAATAAAAGCTGTTCTGGGGGTAAAACGGGCTCCAACTAGTACTAGCAAGATGTAACTACAGACAGATCTCAACAGTGCATACTGAAAAGTTCCACGTTACTTTCTTTTCTCAACAGAAAGTGGCTTCCATATTTAAGAGCCCTTTTAAAGTCAACATGTGGAATCAACAGCCGTCTGTAAATTACTGCCTGCCAAGTGTTTTTTCAAGATCAGCCACTGCAGCCTCAGCACTGAATCGAGGCACCACTCCCTCCTCCCAGGCAGTGACACTGTGGATAATACACTGAAGCAGAGGTTTATATGAAATCAGGCCGGTTGATGATTGATAGTCAGGTGCAACCTTTGGATGGAATCACACATTTATGACACAGTCTGTTAATGATGATAAGGATGACAAAATAACTGAGGTGGAAAGTTACACCAAAGGAATGCTGCAAGCAACGGTTATATCACCGTACCCACCTAGAGCTGCAACAATCAGATAACAAATCAGCTGGCTGATATGGCACACGGTTTGATTTTAAAATAATGATTAAAGTTATTGTTTAAGGGGAAGCTACAATTGTTGCCTTATTAGATAAACAGTAAACTGAATATTTACAAAAGGCAAAACTGGCATATTAGTTGAAAATATATTTGCAAAAACCAAACAAAGCTGCATTTTATGAATGTTCTGTGAGCACCAAATTGACAATGGGTAATTTTCAGACACTGACATGGATATATTCTATTTGCCTAAATAACAGGGCAATATTCTTTGGTTTTTAATGCCCACAAACATCACATCAGTCTCATTTCAAACAGCAGGAAACTGCAGGTATATATCAGGTACTAGAATAGCTGGTAGAAACAGTGCACAGTTTAATCTGTTTACTGCACCATAGGTGAGCCTGAGAATCAACCTATGGCAGAGCAGCACAGTAGGTGACCAGGAATAGACTGCCAGCCCTCATACTTCAATCTCTCTGTTGACATCAGTGACTCTTCACAGCGAGGGGAAGCGAAACACAGGCTTTGACTTCACAAACCAGGCATGTGTTTGTCGTCAGACCACTTTTGGTTCCTAAATGTTTAATACAGCCCTGCTGTTTCTGTCAAACTGGACTCTAAGAGGCCCCAAAAGCCCAAAGTCTGGGCGTGGTGACAACACTCAGCAGGGAAATGGAGGACGGAGAGCAGAAACTCAAAGCCAGGCTAGCTTTCCTTTAGATTAGACTCAAAATTGGATCGGACACTTTGTGCCTGGAATGAGTAAAATCCTCATCATTGTATTGTTTTCAAACTACTGGGTCTATTAGCAAGCAGGTCAGCAGGTGTCTCTGCACCGTTTTCTCTCTCTGTATGAACAGGCTGGAGACTGTTTGCTAAAGCAGGGAACTGAGTAAATATAGACAGAAAAATATATGAGAAGCACAGAGAATGTCATGTTATTAACTCCCTCAGCTTTTGTCTGATTTCTTTAGCGCATTGAGTCCGACTCGACTTTTCAGATGATTTTGTTTCATGTGCAGGAAATACAGTATCAGCAAATTCGCACAGACACGTACACACTCACACTGCAGTGACAGTGAGATTTGTATGATAATAAAAGTGCTGGGTAAAGTCCAGCAGTGCCCGTTTTACACACACTGTTGCTAACCAATCAGGATGCATTTTCATTATTCATTAGCGAGCTAGTTACTGACAATTAAAAAGGGGTTTCCACATCATAGAAAAGCTTAGGCAATTTTTTTCCAATTTCTTAACACTAAAGGAGAAAAACATAAGTTGCGTCCATCAGCTACTATTTACATTAGCCAGCAGGCTACTTGTAATGTTTAGATGCCTCAACATAAGCATCTGCTGTGCCTTGTAAACTCAATCATAATT